TTTTTTTTTTTTTTTTTTTTTTTTTTTTTGTCCTTTTTGAGACCGGCCGCACCGCGCTCAGCCAGTGATCGCACCGGCCATCCTCATATAGGATCCGAACCCGCGGCGGGAGCGCTACTGCGCTCCCAGCGGCGCACTCTCCCGAGTGCGCCACGGGCTCGGCCCGCATGCATTCCAACTTCTAATGTGGCTTCTCTTACTGAAGAATCTGGAAAGTTAAAAACTATTCCCTAGACTCCCTTGCACCTAAGACGAAAATTGAATTTGAGTTAAATGTGGAGAGGAGAGTGTGAGGCATCCAGTTTTGCTGGCAAATATTATGGTAACTTTCTTGCAGTGGTAGCCATAACTTTCTTGATTGTAGTAAAGGCAGTGTTATTTTGTGGGTTAGTAGTAGTTGTTGGAAGTTCTGCCAGTGCCTTTGCTATTGTGCTTTCAATAATTTTGGAAATACTTGGCAATAAATCCCTTTCTGCTTAATCTAGCTACAGTGGGTTCTTTAGTCTGCAATTATACTACACCGGAGTAGGGGTATTGCCAGATAGGTAAGCTATAAAGACATAGTTAAAGGGAGTTCAGGGTATTATTGGAATGATGGACTACAGAATCTAAGCTGGATTGGGAGAAAAGAGAAGAAAAAGGGGAGGGCTGATACACTGGAAGAAAATAGAGGCCAACAGATTGGGGTTTCTAATGAGGTCAAAGAACAGTATTTTCTACTAGAAGACTTCCATTTGTCCTAAAAGGTCTGTTCAGTTGTCTGCCTCTTAAACTTCCCTGCTTCCCTCAAGCTCTCTCTCTTCCTAGATAGTACTTTTGTACTTACCAGACTGTGTTGTAATTGGTCACCATTACCCCTACCAGACTAGGAAGTCTTTGAGGACAGGGACTATGTCGAAGAGGGTTGTTTAGTAACAAGTGTGTATGTGGCCCTTGGAATGGCCTAAGATTTATCTCTTTCTAGATATATGTTTTTGGACAAGTTACTTCATTCCTGTAAAATAGAGTTACCTACATTGTAGAGTTGTTTTAAGGATTAAAATAGGTTTATAAAATACCTAGCACAGGACTTTACATACAAACATCAATAAATGCACTGAATTGGTGACTTAACTAATGATTTAAATAGGGTAAAATTAAATACTTCAGTATTTCAGTAGACAGTTATAAATTTCTGTGTGCTTACACTGTGCTAGGCACTGGAGATTTGGGGAAGAAGGATATGATGATGTGCAAGACAAGAGCTTACTCCCCAAAATTTCACAATCTAGAAAGGGAGGGGGGAAAGTTCATAAATGTGATTTGAATCCCATCTCCATCATTCACAGTTTTGTAATTTTGAGCAAATTACTTGGCTTCTCTTGTATCTTTATTTTTAAAATGGCAATGATAGTTGCCTATCTTGTATGATGGTCAAGAAGATTAAATTAGTTAAGACAAAGCTCTTAGATTAATACATAGTAAATATGAAGCACTCAAATATCAGCTATGATTATTAGAGGACTTTGAAGGGGACCTTAGGAATAATTGACTGAAACAGTAGTGAGGGGTGGTAGAGTATGTACTGGTCCTGGGGTCTAGTACCAGTGTTGAAGCCTTTGTCAAATCACTTGGCCTCTCTCAGATTCAGTTTCAATTAAATAAGAACAATAGGTTTAATGGTCTCTATAAATCCTTTCAGCATTTACAATTTTGTGAGTCCATCTTTTGTGTTTTATCTGGCTTTTGCTATTCTTCCTCTTTCCTACTTCTGAACATTTTCTCAACAAGTCCATGACTGGTGTTTGAAAAGGAAGAAGCATCTATCTAACATGGTCACTCTAGAAATTTGGTGGGAAGAAGGAAGTTTGAGCCACCAGTTTGGCGTTTAAAAGTCTTAAAAGTCTTCTATTTGGACAAGCCCGTGGCTCACTCAGGAGAGTGTGGTTCTGATAACACCAAGGCCACAGGTTCAGATCCCATATAGGGATGGCCGGTTAGCTCACTGGGTGAGTGTGGTGCTGACAACACCAAGTCAAGGGTTAAGATCGCCTTACCGGTCATCTTTAAAAGAAAAAAAAAATCTTCCATTTGCTGACCTATCCAATATATTGTATGGGTCCCAATTCCTTCTCCTTCGATATGCTTTAGACCAGAATGTGTTCACCTTTCTTACTCTACCTGTGCTTGGCACATAGTGAAGCTCAAT